CCATGTCCTTCTTGGACTCAGGGGCCCAAAGCTGAAATTTTAATGGAGGCTGATAAATGAGGGAGGGAGACTGCCTTCCTGAGAGACCCTTGCAGAGGGGAGGATCTCTGCTCTCCAGGATCTCTGTTTCCAGCACAGGAGAAATCTGAAGGGACCTCGTGCTTCTAAGCTGGAAAAAACCGATGGAGCTCATCACAAAGTGGCACATTCATGGCTTCATACCTGCAGCCTGGAGATGGGGTTGTTCCCTCTCCTCCAGAAGGGTTGTGCTTCTCTCTCGGCAGGCAGCTGGACTGTCTACGCCAGCTAGTGGTGGTTCTCTGCGAGCGCTCCCAGCTCCAGGACCTGGTGAAATTCCCCTACGTCAACCTCCACAACGAGGTAATCAACCTGCACTGGGAGGAAACGGGGCACAAACCCTCTCTTTAAAGAGATTATCGACTCATTTTGATCCTCTGTGCACCACAGGTCGTGGGGATCATTGAATCACACGCCCGAGCTGTGGACCTGATGACCCACAATTACTACGAGCTGCTGTACGCTTTCCACATCTACCGCAACAACTACCGCAAGGGTAAGGCACGTTGTGACACCCCCCTGCCTGGGACACCGCTTCCCTTACCCCTGTGGAGTGTCTTCTCCTGGGTTTTGATGTATTCCCCTTCTCTCCTCAGCTGGAACAGTGATGTTTGAATACGGCATGAGGCTGGGCAGGGAGGTGCGGACGATCCGAGGGCTCCAGAAACAAGGGAATTGTTTCCTCGCTGCTATTAACTGCTTACGGTTGATCCGCCCGGAGTACGCCTGGATAGTGCAGCCAGCTTCTGGGGCTGTGGTAGGACACACTGAGCTTTATGATGCAGCCTCTGACCTGAGCTACTCACTATGGGGACACTTAGAGCTGTAGGTTTGGGAAGGAGCTTCCAAAGTCCTTTCTGATGTGATGAACAGAGGCTTTGGCCACCTTAATCTGCTGTTCTCCTCTTCTTGGCCAGCTTGTGCGGCGCTGTCTTGCCCCACTCAGTGGAGACATCACTCCTACCCACCACCCTTGTGTCATTGCCCCTTTTTGGAGCAGGGTGGAGGCAGGACAACTTTTGGGAGGGGGTTGGTGGGGATGTATGGTGATATATATCAATGGTGATATATATCACCATTTCTTGAAGACAGAGCAGAACTTTTTGGGGAGTCTAAACAGATGGAATATCAGTTAAAAAGAGAATTACTGGAGCGTGGTTTGTGTTTCAAATCTGTTTGTGGGGAGGTGGTGACCATAACCTGATCAGCTCATGCTGTGCTGTGTGTCTGATAGCCAGAGATAAACGTAACCTGAACTGCCACGTGGTTGTGTGGCTTTTCTGATTCAAATCAAGGCTTGAAACAGAGAGCTGGTGTTGGGACTGTATCGTATCGAGGCAGTTTGTCCTTTGGAAACCAGGTGGGTATAAACCCTCTTTCTGCTCTTTCCTGCAAGTACGAACGCCCCGGAGCATCCCCGAAGAGGAACCACGATGGGGAGTGCGCGGCTGTTCCAGGTAAGTGCCCAGTCCTGGTACTTCCTCTGATTCTTAGCAGAGAGCGACCTGTCCCCTGGCCTCAGAGCTCTGCTGCTCCCCTGTGAGCTGGGACATGGCTCAGGGCAGCTCTCACCTCTGTCAGATCAATAATTTGGGGACTGTAAGGTAGGTAACTCTCCCAGTGTTAGTGTCTCCCAGTTGCAATGTGCTGCCACCCAACAGCTGTTCCCCAAGGAGCTTCTGTGCACACTCCTCTGCAGTTTAAATTGTGTCAGCACTTTTGCTTTTAGTGGAAATAACTTGTAGTTTAAAAAAATATATTAATTATTAAAAAAAGCCTTTATGAGGCAATTTCTAATTGTTGAAGACTCTTGGTGTTTGTGCTCTTGGAAACCCTCCTGACCTAGTGAGTCTCTGCTGGTGAGTTCTCCACTTTGCTTGTGCACAGGATGGTGGAGTCTGGTTAGATCGTAATCCTCAGCATTGTGGTAGAAACATTTAAGGTCAGATATATTTTAAAACCATTATTTCTGAAGGAGCTATTTTGTGGCACGTGCTTGGCAGTCAGAGCAGCAGCTGGTACCAAACACTAGATAACATCTCAAACAGAGGAGGAATGGGAGGAAAGAGGCACAGTTCAAGGGAAGGGCAGCAAAACCTGCCCTCTCCTTTGGTGCTTTCTGTGGGGCAGCTCCTCTGAGGACAGCAGTGAACTGTAAATATTTTGCACAATGCCCAAGGAGCCCTTTTTTAAAATACTGAGAGCTCTTTGTGTCCATCTGTTACAGCAACTCGACAAATCGAGATCCTGGAGCTGGAGGATTTGGAGAAGGAGTGTGTGTTGGCCCGGATCCGGCTGACTCTGGTGCAGCACGACCTGTCGACAGCGGCTGTGGCAGGTATGAGGGATGCGGCGCCGCTGCCTCTCACTTCCCCCGAGGGTCTTGCTGCTTAAAGCTGCAGCTACTCAAGCTGCTGCTGTTTGTTTAGGTTGTAGCTCAGGTGAGGAAGCAGCAATTTTGTTCCAACCCATAGTCAAACCCAGGGGCTGACAGGGACCGTTCAGTTTCCCTCCCTAGCGTCAAATGTTGCCACCAAGTTCAGCAGCTTTGGGAAGGCAGATCAGGAGAAACAATCTGAAAGCTTTCCACAGCTTTTTGGCTTTGCCAGACTCTAGTAATGGTCTGTGTGAGGCTGGGGCTGAGCTCATGAGGTGAGACAAACAGACATCTTTGGCTTGGTGGAAATTGCACCTAGAGAAGAAAGAAATTGGAAATTTAGAAAATTAATTGGAAATTTAGAAAATTAGAATTAGAAAGAAAGAATTAGAAAGCTCTAGAAAAAAATCCACTTGCTTCAATTATTGTCCTGCACAATCCTGCTTCACACCAGGCTGTTGGCTTATCCGAGTTGTTCCTTGTTGGGGAGCAGGAAGATGTGATTCTCCCACCCTGTATATTGAGTATATTAACTCTGATGTGAGTTCATGTGACTTGTACACATTTTTCCCCTTTAAGTATCAGGAGGAGAGAACTTCCCAGTAAGGGATTGCTGGAAAAGGATCAAACAGCTGGTTTGAGGGCAAACTGGAGGCGCAGGGAGCTGAGTGCCACAGTTTCATCTCACCTCCTGCCTGTGCTGGCGGAGCTGAGCTGATGCCTTGTTCCCTTGGACACAGGCCTGCTGCACCAATGACAAGGCTGTCCCCTCCCTGCTCACTGAAATGGGCCATCTGTTGCCTCCTGTGTCCCCCTCCAGCCTAACCAGGGAGGGCTCTGTGTGTCCCTGCTGCTTTGTGCCATCCCTGGAGGCTCATGAGATGCTCCTGAGGCCCAGAAAGCCTCCAGCCATGTAACGAGTACTGCTGCAGGGTGATTTACATCATGCTCTTTGCACGCTGCTGCTGTAACTCTGCCACTGAATTCTGTGTGGTTAGATCCCAGTAAGCACTGGAGTGTGACTGGGAGAGGCACTTACCTGATCCTCCTTCCCCACAGGCAACTCTACGCCTGAGGAAACGGTTGCTCTCCTGGTCCGGGCCGGCCTCTTTGACACGGCCATCACCCTGTGCCAAACGTTCAAGCTGCCTTTGACCCCCGTCTTTGAGGGACTCACTTTCAAGTAGGTCACAAACTTCTCCTCCCCACCTCGGGTGACAGGCAGCTGGAGGGACGACGTGCGTTGCGTGATGCTTGGCAGGGTGCAGCTTGCAGCTCCCCAGGGTCAGGAGCCAGCACTGTCCTAACCTGTCTGCTGGCTGAATGGTTTTGAGGTGGAACTTGCTGAGGAAAGGGAAAATAAAGAGAACTTTGCTGAACAGGGAGGGAAGGGGAGAAACTTCTCCCTGGTCTCAGGGGAGAGAACTGGCATCTGAGAATTGCAGGTGATCCTGACCCAGCACAACCATTATCTGGAGATCTTTCTGGCGAGCTAGCTGGCTTGTGGCACGCTCCTGCTGATGCTTGGTGAGCTGCTCACAGAAGATCTGTTTGAGCTGTTGGGTGGCTCTCAAATAGCAGTTGGCAGAGTGCTTGCTTTTCTGTCTGATCTCTGTGCTAGCTGTTTGCTCTCATGCCTTATCTCTCACCCCAGGATTATTCTTTTCCTTTGTGCTTCCAGAAGTGCCTGCAGGGTTGTTCAGGAGCTCTGCTGTGGCCTGTTCCTGTGGATGGATCCACCGAGGGCATCTATCTCTTGCCCAAGCTCAGGCCCTAAAGCTTGCTCACTTCAGAGTCCTTATTAATTCCTCTCTGGCACTTGGAGCAGCTTAGAAATTGCTCTAATAGCTGTTTTTTCCCTGCCAAGCCAGCTAATTTGTGGCTGTTGCTTGTGAATGGTCCTGGAAGTGGTGGCTTTGATGCTGTGACAGCTGTGGCAAGGCCGGGTGACAGGGCCAGGCACCCACCTCTGCGCTGCTCTGTCTTGCAGGTGCATCAAGCTGCAGCTGGGAGGGGAGGCAGCGCAGGCAGAGGCCTGGGACTGGCTGGCAGCAAACCAGCTCTCCGCACTGGTTACCACCAAGGAGTCCAGGTAGGTCCTTGTCCGTGGGGGAGAAAAGCAGAATCCCTCTTTGTGAAAATGAGTCATTTCTGGAGGTGAAAGCTTTGCAGGATCCCAGAGGGTCACAGGTTCCTGAAACCCCTTTAAAGCAGACCCACAGGACTGGGACATGGGGAGAGCCACGCTGTCACCACGCTCTGCCCAGCCTGCTGTCCACAGCACACCCCGCTTTGCCAGGCACACGCTGAACCCAGGCAGTGGGACAGGTCCCCTGGAGCACACTGTAGCCTCACAGGCAGTGGCAGAAGCTGCTGGCACATGTTCCCAGGGGATATATTGCCTTGCAGTGCCACAGACGAAGCTTGGCGGTTGCTGTCGGCCTATTTGGAGCGTTACCCGTCCCAGAACAGCCTGTACCATCGCTGCGTCATCAACAAGCTCTTGGCACACGGGATACCTCTGCCCAACTGGCTCATTAACAGCTACAAGGTGAGAACAGGATGATGAAGGGAGTGGAGCATCTCCCTGCTGAGGAAAGGCTGAGGGAGCTGGGGCTCTTTAGCTTGGAGAAGAGGAGACTGAGGGGTGACCTCATTAATGTTTATAAATATGTAAAGGGTGAATGTCAGGAGGATGGAGCCAGGCTCTTCTCAGTGATGCCCAATGGTAGGACAAGGGGCAGTGGGTGTGAGCTGGAACACAGGAGGTTCTGCTTCAACTTGAGAAGAAACTTCTTTACAGTGAGGGTGCCAGAGCCCTGGGACAGGCTGCCCAGGGAGAGTGTGGAGTCTCCTTCTCTGGAGACATTCAAGACCCTCCTGGACACCTTCCTGTGTGATCTCATTGAGGTTCCTGCTCTGGCAGGGGGGTTGGACTGGATGATCTTTTGAGGTCCCTTCCAATCCCTGACATCCTGTGATTGTGTAACAGGGAGAGGTTGGCCAAAAAACCTGCCTGTCCCAGCACTGCCGGGTCACCTTCGCTGTGACAGGCACCTCCTCGTGTCGAGCTTTGCCCCATCTTCCCCTTCCCAGCTCCAGGAACGCGTGGCAGATGCTTTGTGCCCGTGAGGAGGCTCGGAGCAGGTTCCTCTCAGCATCGTGGTGGTTCCCAGGTTTCCTGGCTGATGTTCCCTCTTTGCTCACAGAAGGTGGATGCTGCCGAGCTGCTGCGTCTCTATCTGAATTACGATCTCCTGGAGGAGGCTGTGGATCTGGTGCTGGAGTACGTGGACGCTGTGCTGGGCAAAGGGCACCAGTATTTTGGAATCGAGGTGAGCTGACCTGCAGCGTGGGATGTGACTGGGACCCTTCCATGGGGCAGATCCCGTTCGGGTGTTGTGCCCATGATTTGGGTGAGGGTGTTTCCAGGAGAAATGGGTGTGGAAAACCCATCCTAGAGAAGAGGGGACCTTGTAGTGGGACCAGTAGGAGAAGTGGGTGTTGGGACATTGTGGTTGGAGGCTCCTCCTCGCCGTGGCTGTGGGGAAGAGCATTTTTCCAAGAGCACAACAGGAGACAGTGGTGTGTGACTGCAGCCTGGGAGGCCAGCCGTGTCCTGGGCTGCATCAAGAAGAGGGGTGGGCAGCAGGGTGAGGGAGGGGATGTCCCCCTCTACTTTGCTCTGGTGAGACCCCACTTGCAGTTCTGCCTCCAGTTCTGGGGCCACCAACAGCACAAGGACATGGAGCTACTGGAGCCAGTGCAGAGGAGGCCACGAGGATGATGCGAGGGCTGGAGCAGCTCTGCTGTGAGGACAGGCTGAGAGAGTTGGGGCTGTTCAGCCTGGAGAAGAGAAGGCTCCAGGGAGACCTTCTAGTGGCCTCCCAGTACCTGAAGGGGCTCCAGGAAGGCTGGGGAGGGACTTTGGCCAAGGGCAGGGAGTGAGAGAACAAGGGGTGATGGCTTGAAAGTGGCAGAGGGGAGATGGAGCTGAGATGTGAGGAAGAAATTGTTTGGTGTGAGGGTGGTGAGCCAGTGTCCCAGGTTGGCCAGAGAAGCTGTGGCTGCTCCTCCCTGGAAGTGTTCTCGGCCAGGTTGGATGAGGCTTTGAGCAACCTGGTCTAGTGGAAGGTGTCCCTGCTGCTGGCAGGGGGGTTGGGACTGGGTGAGCTTTAACGTCCCTCTAAATCCAAACCAGTCTGGGGTTCTGTGACACAAAGGTTCTTCTCCCCTCCAGTTCCCACTGTCCGCCACGGCCCCCATGGTGTGGCTGCCCTACACCGCCATCGACCA